TATATCGAATGTCGTATTATTGAAGAAATATAATATTTTATGGGATTGAGATTGAAATTCAATTTCAAGTATTATTTGGTATTAGAGATTACATGATTAGGCCGCTATAATCCACATAAATACCAATCAATATCGAATAAGTTGATATGTATTTTATCCCTCCGAACTAGACTCCATCATCTACTGCTATCTGACCCTCAACCGTCAAATACATAGCTCATTCCCTTATTATTTGTCAACTCATTAAATTTATTTCATTACTTGTAATATGTTTATGGGGTGTTTAGTAACCCCTATTCTAGTGTATTGTTTTAGTTTGTTAATTTGTTTCTTAAGCACCAACATTTTTCTAGTTTGTTGTTATTATACTTAGAAATTTGTTTTGCACCAGTACTGACACCATTATTATATATTTTGAGAATGATTTGTAGAGTTACGGTAGATGAAAAGTATTTGTTTTTGTCTTTTAGAATGATAATTTTAAAGTGAATTGATTTGGTATTTGGTATATATGATTGAATTTAAAATACTATTTAGAATTATGATTGAATTTAAAATACTATTTAGTATTTTGATATTTGATATTAGAATACCAATATTGTATCGATTACTACTAGAGGTGGCAATTGGATTGGATTCATGAATTGGTGGATCCATGGATCAAGTGGATTGGAGGAGTGGTGGATTGGATCATATGGATTGGTGGATTGATCCAGGAATCCAAATGACATCCAAGCCTTGCACCAAAATATAAATTTTGAAAAGTTTAGGTACTAAAATGTCATAATTAATTTTTTAGGTCAAAGACATTTTTTATAAAAAATAAATTTTGGGTACCAAAATGTAAAATATAAAAATATAAGTACTAAATCGTAATTTGTCATTTAGATCTTTGGATCAATTCATGAATCCGCCAATCCAAATGAATTTGGATCAAATAGATTGAATTGAAATGGCTACCTCTAATTACCAGTGTTATTAAAGACGAGCCGAGCCGCTCGGCCCGACCGGTAAAACCGCCACCCGATCACAAAACCGGCTCGAAACAGTCTAAAAGCCGCTCTGGTTTTATGTAGTGGTTGACGAGCGGCCGAGGCGGTTAACCGCTTGAGCCGATCGTCTGGTTTTTGCCATTCAGCTATTAAATTTAATTAATAAAATTGCAGAAATTGAAGATTGAAATAAACCAAAAACGTCGGGCTCTCAAACTGAATCCTTATTTCCATTTCACAATTTTGAAGGAAAGAGATGAGCTCTGATTAAGAAATGTCCACTATTTATACTGATAACGTTTATTAGGTACCGGTTCTCTAACGGTTTTTAAACGTTCTAATGCCGGTTGGACCACTAAAATGCGAGCCGTTCACATTACCGGGTCATGCTCCAGTTCGGTTCTGACAACATTGCTAATTACCACAGTTTTTTTTTTTTTTTACAAAAATTACCACAGCTTCTACTGCCCAATGGCGCGATTGTTTCTGGGGTATAGACATGTGTGCTAATTTATAGGGTTAGTTTTATCTCTAAACAAACAACCTGTGCCGTGCTGTACTATTGCGGGGTTACAGCCCCACATCCAGGCTTTTGTTTTTTTATTAAATCAAATTAAATATTGCATTAGTTTGCGTCTTCCTAAATCCAACTAGCACCTAACCTTAATTATTATTTTGTCCACAGTTTTACCAGTAAGGTTATCAAACCCATATTCGGCTGGTTCAATCGAGTCCGACTGAAACCGACCTTCTAAAAGGTTGAAGTTCACTAAGGTTGGACGGTTCTCATCACTTAAAATAGGGTTATCCAGTTTAAACCGGATAGCATGACCACTCAAAATTGGGTTTGAAACTTATGATTGATAATTTTGTAATATATCTTTGTTTTGAAAAAATAATTTCAAATATAAGTGTTTTGAAACATTAGTGATATTGTTTCAAAGTATGTCAAATATATATATGAATAATCTATTTGGTATTAGAGGTTTACTCACATATTATGTTAAAACCAATTTGAACTGGTTGAATCTGATTCAACCATTAAACCTCAACTCACTTGTCAAACTAGCTTGATGGTTTAATTCGGTTTGACAACCTTATTTACCAGCCGAATTCGTTCATTTGGTATGAGTTATTTGGAATTATTGCAAAAATAATTCCAAATCATTGTTGGAGGGGGGAATGAAAAGGCAACAACTGAGGATGAGTTTTTTCCCCTACTTACCTCACTTTTTTTCATCTGGTGTCGATTTATCTGGCTTGTTGTTATCTTCCACTGTCGACACTCTCCATTACATGTCGTCCTTCCAAGCATATTGTCTTGCTTGTAGTCACACAGTTCGTATCACCTTCTCAAGGTGGACCAATGAATTTCTTTTAGGAGTATCCTCTTCCAAAAATAAAATATTTAATTATATATTTTATTGAATAAGAAAAATATTCAACTAATACACGTTATAACAAACTAGACGTGTTTTCATATTAATATATATATTAAAAAAATGTACTCGATGTCTATAATGCCTAACAAATATCTTTCGATATATCTTACTAGACAGTGATTCATGAACTGATAGCTTATGTGCTTAAAAACTTGTTTTTATGTGGCACAAAGCTAACCCATCCTTGTGGGTGAGTTCCTTAGACAACAACCTAAGCCATCCATGTCTTATCCCTCTCAATTGCGGATTGTGCCTCGTCTCTATCTTCAATAGCTAAACATCTTTGTTAGGTTGGTGACTTGGTTGGTTTATTTACAAAATTATAAATGTCCTTGCAGTGACTTTAAGCACAATTATCAATTTATCATGAGTGTGTGTAAATATTTGCACAAATTAAACCTAATTTGCTATGAGGACGATCCGTTAAAAAATGCAAATTAGTAATACGATATATATTTTGCAAACGTCTCATCAAAATTCAAATACATAACTTGGATTAATAGATTCGTCCTGAATATTCTTACTTACTATAATGAAATTAGACGAAACTCCAACTCTTTTTTAGTATAATTTTTTTTTTTCAAATTTCATTCCACTTCGAATTATGCATTTTTCAATGCCAAACATGTAATTCACTACCTCATAATCATCCCTTCTTTTTATGGGTGAAAAGGACAATTATTAGTAAAGTTTGCTCCCACTAATTATCGTTTGTTTGTTCCCCATGTACGTAAATGGAGTCATAAAATTCCTTTTAGCCTTATCTCATAAAGAAATATTGACGGAAAATTGGTTGATATATAATAATATAAATATACAATCAGTCAGTTAATTGAATCTAAACCCGAAAAATCAAGGAGTTAAGATTCGGGAAATAATTAATTTGGGCGGTAAAGTAAGCAATAAAGCGGAAAACGAAACCGATGTTGTTCATTAGGCCAGAAGAAGACTCCTTTGGAAGTTGGAGACTGTAGTCTTTATCTTCTACAGATAGAAAATTATTTTCTCGGAAAATTCCAAAAAGGACTAGACTTTCATAAATTTTCTCGAGAAAAGTTACAATGGTGGTGGAGACTGGAGAGTAGTAAAGCAAAGCCAGTGGTAGAGTGAACCACACACATCTTTCAAAGCCCACCATCTCTCTTTTTTGAGTTTTTCCGTTAGGGTTTACTCTGCTTCTCTCTCCTCTACGCTTTTCGTCCCTGACCCTGAGAGAGAAAAAAAAAAAAAAATTAAAGCTCTCTTCTTTTGGGTAACCGAGGAGCTCACTTCCTTTTTTTCTCTCCTTCCAAACACCTCTACAATGTCTCTCTACAGTCTCAAATCTTAGTCACCCCAACCTGCATTTGGGCTTCTCGCCTCTTTCATCTTTTCTTCCTTTCTCTGCTTACAAAGTTTCCGCCATTGAAAGGGACCAAATGGAAGGAAAAATGCAGACCCACAAGCTGGTTCCTCTTTTCTTCTGTTTCACTTTCCTTTCCGTTTCTTTTATCCCGGGAATGGATCAGGTGAGTAACCTTATGGTGAGTAACCATGAGTAACCCGTCCACATCAGCATGACATCAGCATTCTCTCTCATTGAAAGCCTTTAATTTTTCCCTCTTTAATCTTTTACGGACGATTTCTCGCTCATTTTAAGTCGAAATTTAATTTTTTTTGCACAGTTAGATCAGATTAATTGTGCTCTTCAAAATGATATCCACTTTAATATATTTTTCGAACAAAAAAAATTGAGCCATTTTTTACCAGCCTATACCATATGGTATTGACTGGTATTGAAATAAAAGCATACCTATGTTTTGAAAAACGTACCATGGTGGTATGAACAAACCAATACTGTAGGATGGTTGAATACATGATAGTAGAAGTATATTAATTGTAATTTACGACTTTTAACATTGTATACCACACAATACCACCCCGTACCAGGGTGGTATTGTATGGTATTGTGTGCTATTTTTTGGTCCTGTAATTTGTTCACCCAGAAATTTGTAGATCCAATAGATCATGATGAACTCGTCCCTTCTGTGCAAACGTTTTCAAAAACGAATTAAAAACGAAGAAGATACCATACAATACCACCCCGTACCAGGGTGGTATTGTATGGTATTGTGTGGTATTTTTTGGTCCTGTAATTTGTTCACCAAGAAATTTGTAGATCCAGTAGATCATGATGAACTCATCCCTGCTGTGCAAACGTTTTCAAAAACGAATTAAAAACGAAGAAGATACCATATGGTATGCAGTTGGTACCGAGAGGCCAGAATTTTTTTTCCTAAAAAAATATTGAAAATTGATCTCATTTTGTAGAGCACGGTGAACTCATTCCATCTGTGCAAAAAAAATTAAAATCCGAGTTAAAACGAAAAAGATATGAGTCAATTAAGAAAGCTAGTGAAAATAAAAATAGTCTTTAATTCTCCATCCTTAGATCTGAATTTTCTAAATGAAGGGTCCAGATTTGGTTATTGATGGGTGCATAACCCATGGTTATGCACCCTATCTTGAGCCTTTTATCCCTCCTTCAAATTCAGATCTCGCCGCCGACCGAGCAGCGCTGCTCACCCTGCGGTCCACCGTCGGGGGCCGAACCCTTTTGTGGAATGTCAGTCAGCAGAGCCCCTGTGCCTGGGCCGGAGTTAGGTGTGAGCAGAACAGAGTCACGGTGTTGCGTTTACCCGGCGTCGCTCTCTCCGGCGAGCTGCCGAATGGGGTTTTTGCCAATTTGACTGAGCTGCGAACTCTCAGTCTTCGCCTCAACGCTCTCACTGGTAACATTCCTTCAGATCTAGCTGCTTGTACTCGTCTCCGGAACTTGTACCTGCAGGGGAATTTCTTCTCCGGCGAGATCCCGGAGTTCCTATTCACTCTCCGTGACCTCGTTCGGGTTAACCTCGGGGAGAACAACTTCACCGGTGGGTTCCCGACCGGGTTCGACAATCTCACCAGGCTCAAGACTCTGTTCTTGGAGAACAACCATCTGTCCGGCGCCATTCCGACGGTGAAATTGGGGAAAGTGGAGCAGTTCAATGTGTCCAACAATTTGTTGAACGGCTCTATTCCTCAGAGGTTGAGGACTTTCGATTCGGATTCGTTTTTGGGCACTTCGCTCTGCGGGCAGCCCCTCGATGCCTGCCCGGTCGATGGTGCCCGCGGGACTGTGGTGGTGCCCAGCACGCCGTCGGCGACAGGGCAGTCCGTCGGGAACAGGAAGAAAAAGTTGTCCGGCGGGGCAATCGCCGGGATAGTCATCGGGAGTCTTGTTGGTCTGTTGTTAATAGTCATGATTTTGGTCTTCCTCTCACGGAAAATCAGCAAGCAGAGATCGAGATCGATGGACATTTCAACATTGAAGCCTCAAGACCTGGAAATCATGTCTGAGAAGCCCATGGTGGATGTGGACGGCGGCGTTGGCCGCAACGGAAGTAGTGGGTACTCGGTGGCTGCTGCCGCTGTGGCTGCTATGGTGGGCAACGGCAAAGGAGGAGGAGATGGTAGCTCTGGCGCCGCCGGAGCGAAGAAGCTGGTGTTCTTTGGGAAGACTACTAGGACGTTTGATTTGGAGGACTTGTTGAGAGCCTCTGCAGAGGTTTTAGGGAAAGGAACATTTGGGACTGCTTATAAGGCAGTGTTGGAGTATGGAACCGTGGTGGCTGTGAAGAGGTTGAGAGACGTGAATGTGTCAGAAGGAGAGTTCAAGGAGAAGATTGAATTTGTGGGCGCCATGGATCATGAGAGGCTTGTCCCCTTGAGGGCTTATTACTACAGCAGGGATGAGAAGCTTCTTGTCTATGATTACATGTCCATGGGAAGCTTGTCTGCTCTTCTTCATGGTGAGTTTTCTTTCCATCTTAAAGCTAGGATCCTTTGTGCTTTGTGAAGATTGATTACTTAGTGACAGTGGCTGTAGCTTCGATGAATGACGATTCATTGCTTAGCTTCAGCTTAATTTGCATTGTTTAGTATTATTAGCCATGTTTGGATGTGTGATCATTTTCTGTAAAGTTTTGTCATTTGTTGTTTGAAACTTACTTAACAGCTGAATTAGTTAAATGTTGTTTGGAGTCATGTATTTGGCTTTCATCAATTGAATAATTTGACCAGCATGGTCTAGTTGCCAAGCAATAATGCTTGTCAATGCAGATTCCTTGTTGATCAATCAATCAATCAATCAATCAATTGTTTGATAAGTCTTGTCTTGTGTCTTTAACTGCAGGCAACAAGGGTGCTGGTAGGACTCCACTGAACTGGGAAATCCGTTCCTCAATCGCCTTAGGAGCAGCTCGTGGCATCGAATACCTTCACTCCCAAGGCAACGAAGTCTCCCATGGCAACATCAAATCCTCCAACATCCTACTCACTCCGAACTACGAAGCTCGAGTATCCGACTTTGGTCTCGCTCATCTCGTGGGCCCCTCATCGACTCCCAACAGGGTAGCAGGCTACCGCGCGCCAGAAGTTACCGACCCACGACGTGTCTCCCAGAAGGCCGACGTCTACAGCTTCGGCGTCCTCCTTCTGGAGCTGCTAACGGGAAAGGCCCCCACGCATTCCCTCCTGAACGAGGAAGGCGTCGACCTGCCCCGCTGGGTTCAATCCATAGTGAAGGAGGAGTGGACCTCGGAGGTGTTCGATCTCGAGCTCCTGAGGTACCAGAGCGTGGAGGAAGAGATGGTTCAGATGCTGCAGCTTGGAGTGGACTGTGCAGCTCAGTTCCCCGACAACCGGCCTTCGATGGTCGACGTGACGAGGCGGATCGAGGAGATTTGCAGGTCGAATGGCAGCGCCCGAGATCCTCAGCAGCCTGCTGGTGAGGTGGTGGTCAGCCATGGAGATGAAAGCTCGATACTTTGAGAGAGCATTCATACATTTGCACATCCCCAATGAATGTAGAAAAATGCTCTCTCTCCCTTTTCATTTCTTCCTCTCAGCCTCTTTTTTCTTGTATGTCATCATCGACTCTAAATGTGGTGTGTGGTCTTTGGTTGTCCTGTTTCTGGAGATGTTGGTATTTTGGTTCTGTCGTTAATTTGCCAGTAGGAGGGTTTGTGATTTGATGGGTCAACATCATTAATTTACATTGGTGGGGTTGGTCAGTGGTTGGTTTGTGATGTTTTATCTATCTATCTGTGGTTGGTTGGTTGGTTGGTGGGTGAAGTGGGTTGGTTCATGAAGGGATAAGGACTAAGGAGGTTATAGCTATTAGTAGTGCTGTCTGTCTTCAATCAAAATGGTCCCTTTTCCTTCAAAGATGGTAACTTTTTCTCCTTTGAAGGACATTTTGCGGGTGTGGAGTAATTGATGGTGACTCTTAGGGTTGGAAGTTTGGTACCGGTATTTGGGATATACCGAATACCGTACCGAATTTGTCTATATTTGGTATTACCGAATACACGTATTATTTTGTGGGATTGGAATTGAATTTCAATTGTTATTTGGTATTAGGGATTACGGGATTGGGATCGGTATACCGAAATACCGATCAATACCGAAATATAAGCTAGTGTGTATTTAATCCTCTCAACTAGACTCTCTCATTCACTACTACGCGACCATCAACCACCAAATTCGTCATTTAATTATACATAGATCATTACATCACTATTTCACACTAGTATTAGTCGTCTCTCAACCTCAAGTTCGTCAAATTAAAGATTACCAATTACAAGAATTTGAGATGTTAGCTCTAGGCAACTCAAGACTATTTGCTTAGTCTCTTTGCCCTAAATTAAACAATAAAATCTAATTTATATATTTAATTATTAATTGTAAAGGTAATTAATCATGTATTCGATAATATCGATTGGGATACCGAGGTACCGATTGGGATACCGAAATTATTTAGGGATTGGGATTGGGATACCGAAATTATTTAGGGATTGGGATTGGGATTGATTTTAGGGTGTAATTCGGTATTCGGGATTTCGGTATTTGGTATTGGGATACCGATACCGTACCGATTTCCACCCCTAGTGACTCTGGATTGCTTCTGATTCTACTATGAGTTGGCCAGTAAACACTAAACAGGGTAGATTTGGGAACTTGATATTCCTCTGTATTTCCATTGAAAGATTACCTATGAGCGAGTAGTTGAGCGGATTGAATCCTGGTGGTTAAATAAGGAGAGTCCAAATGTGTGAGTAGGTTTACATCTAAATTTTAGTTATAGTTAGAGTTGAAAATGAGTTGTGAGTTGTTCAGAAGCAAAGCAGGTTGACATGTTCAATTCGGGAAATATTCGTTAAAAATTCGACTCAATTATTAATGAGGAGAGTCTTAGCTGAGTTTTGTTTAGCTCGCGATTCATTTTATCTCTGAGGTTTATTGAGCTGACGAGATGTCTCAATAACGTGGCTAGCGAGCGAGTCAACTAGATTACTGGCTTGTGGGCGCGAATCGATCTATATCTTATGAGTTTGGTTTGTTGGTAATTCACGAATTTATTAAATTATATATCTCACCCTATACGATGTTTAAGAACTTGACTATACGGATGGTCTCATTAATGAGGCTTAATTCAAGTCGAGCTATAGACAAACACAAACAAAATTTTTAGTAATCGGACCGAACTCGAACCAGACCCGAGCTAGGCAAAATTCAGTTCTTCTCTGCTGATTTGGAGTTCGTTTGCTTCATGGATTTGAAAAAGGAGGGTTTTGGTAAAACCTGGGTTTTGGAAAACCATGGATATATGATAGATTTGGTGGCATTATGGATTTGAACAAGTCTATTGTTTGCTTGATGGATTTGATTATGGACTTTGTTTGATTAGATTTGTGGATATTAAATACAAATTACCTAGTTACCCTTATTTAATTATATTTCGATATTCTAATCCAAATCTTTCATCTAAAACTAATCCAAAACATAGAAAGAAATTTTAAACTCTTTACCACTATGTGGATTAATAATTCAACTACAAATATAGAAATGTATTACAATTTGGCACTAATTAACAATTCATCTAATAATGTACGCAATATTATGTATCAATTGCAGTCAATTGCTCGCTTTAATGCTACAACTCATCATCTTCTTGCTAACTCACCGATGTGGAATCCAACAATCAATCAAATAATAATGTACAAGATGAGCATAAAGTGTTTCTAGGTGAATCTAACAAATCACATATACATTCATATTTAAATAAAATACGATATTACAAAATGAAATGATAAATTCTCATATTTATAAAATACGAAATTATAAAAGTTTACAGTTGCATGACTATTGAATTAAAGTAGGACAAATTTGTAATTAAAGAAATAATTAAAAGTAGAAAGGTAATTTACCATATCTGCTATTCTACAGATATATGTATAATTATTTTGTCAGGAATCCAAAGGAGGCCGTGTTTACCTTTTTTTCTTTATTCACGTGATATATTTAGTCAGTGTGATCATTTGCTGTTTTTAACACCTTTTCTATCGTGACTTCGTGAGCACATATATAGCCTTCACATTTATACGCTTTTCAAAAAGCGCGGGTTGGATCCAGTCCTTAAACTCCATTCTTTAAGAAGTATCTTAAATTCATTCTAGTCAATAGAAAAAGGAGAGAAGTAAACACTAGCAATAATTGATTAACTACCCAAAAGGGTACGGAAGGAATAAAAGAAATATTGACATTAAATTCGGCACCTAATTAAAATCCAAAAATCAAAAATAGAAATTCAACTTCCCTCTTTAATTCGGCAGTTAATTAATACAAAAATTAAAAGTCAAAAATAGAAATCCGAAATTAATATTTAATATTTAAAAATATAATTCTAGATAAATAATATCTACTCTCCCTCTCTGTAGCGACTTGCAATAGCATTATTAATGTTTTCACTAGTATTATTAAAGTTTATGAAATAAATAATTAATAATATAACTTTTATTATTAAAAATTTCAATAAGCTTATCAATGTTTTACGATTACTTTGTTAACAATTTGGATCAATTGTGACCAATTTATATTTTCGTCGCCAACGTTTACGATGAAATTATTAATGGTGTACCCCATCATTATTAATGATTAAAACATTATTGTCATTGATTTACAACATATTTATTAACAGTTCAAATTTACACGCTCATAACTAGCAAATCACGACCTCTTACAATGACTTCTAATGACATTATTAACTTTTTGCAATCAATTGATATCGTTTTACATTCTTTGTATTGTCGTTACTGGTGTTTTTTACTTTTTTGTTGATATTATTGATAGGTATTAGGGATATTGTCTCAAATTGGTTGGTAATGATAATAATAATATTGTAAGGTTAAAATGTTGATAACGGATGGAAAAGAGTTGATAATGGCAGTGAATGTTAATAATGATCTTAATATCGTAATGTTAAAACGTTAACTAGGTTAGTAATAGTAGACGTCTCGAAAATGTTGATAATGGCGGTATCAACAATAATATTTGTCAAAGAAACGTCAAAATGATGTAGTTACCGATTAATAATTGCAATATTGTAATTAATAATAGTCACGTGGTTGGTTTCTATTTCGTAATAATATGGATTGATAATGATGTAGTTACCCGATAATAATTCTTGTAATAAAATTAATGATAGGGCAGTGGTCGAATAATTATGTATTATTATATGGGTTGACAACGTGCTGAACATGAAAATAATATTAATAGCGCAACGTGAAAATGTTAACAAAGGAGGGTAAAAATTTGAAATATACATTGTGATAGCAATTTAGTTTCCTGTTAATAATTGCAATAATATAATTAATAATAATTGTATGGTCGGTTAAAAATGTATATTATTATGGGTTGATAACGTGATTAAATATTATTATAACTGATAATGAACTTAGCAACATCAAATCCTGCACGATTGACTCCTTTGTCTCCAATCTCCCCTCCTGAAGAACATGATTAACAAATTGATAATGACCTTGAGATAATTGATAATATAGTTGATAATATTAAGAATGTGTGTAGATACGTTAATAATGAAAACAGATAATGAGATGTCACACATTAATAAGTGTCGTGTTGGTAAAGAAGTTGAGAAAATTGATAGGCTTCAACATTAAAAATGATGTCAAGTCGTTAATATTGATATGAAAAATTGTTAATAACGAACGACCAAGTCATTAATCACGCAATTGAAGTTCATTGAAACCAACACAAAATCATTAATAATGTTTGAATCCAATGTTAAGTATCAAATACCTTTAAACTTTAAAAAAGCAAAGTTGTATCCATTAAAAACTGAAAAATAATGTTAACAATGATTGTTAACGGTATTAATAACTATGATGTAAAATATTAATACCGACATACAATACGGCACCGTTTAACAATGATATGAGTTTTGTTTATAAATATATTGAAAATATTAATAATATCCAAAGGGAGCAAGTTTTGTTTATAAATATTAATAATAACTAAAAAAGAGAAATCATGTCATTGACTAAAATAAAAAGCAGTCCCAACAGTACAAACCAAACCTAGCGTAATTAACTCCTTAAAATCCGCCCACTCTCCTTTAATTAGTTTTAAAATACTTTAATAGCCTAATTACCCTTAACTACCTAGTAACCACTAACCAAATATAACTACCTAATATACTTTCAGCCAATAAAAATCATTTAAGATTATTCATAAGTTTCTAGACTTAAGGACCTGCACTCATCCGAATAAAATCGAAGGTAGTATTTGAACTAGCTTGGCATTTGTGGCGGGCAAGATTCATTCACCCCTTCTTTACCATCCCAACTGAACGAATCTTGTTGTTAATTAGGCGATTTGTTATATTTATATGTATGCCGTATTCTAATCCCTATAACTAACACAATTTAATTGTCCACATAATCCCTAGTCCTTTTTTTTGTCTGCCTCGGATACAAACCTCACGCAGCTTGTTATCTATGTCTCCACAAAATTCATTTCCTTCTTTTGACAAGGAGAAAATGATGCATGTAGTTATTACTTTCTATTCCTACCCGCTTTCTTCAAATTTTTTTTTAAAAAAAATATCTTGGTCATCAATTGAATTCATATATATATATGTTATCTATCATCCGGTGACAGGTTTAAAAACTTACCAAGGGTTTATGAGCCAAAAAAATGACGGAAACAAAGAAGCACACATTATATTCATATGTTTATTTGCTTTTCAAAATAACACTTATCTTGCATGTTCCAGCAACAAGTATGGAGAGATCATTTTCATTCATGAAATATATCAAGAACGATATTCGATACCGAATGAACGATGAGTAGTTGTGATGTGTTGGTGACATTTA